AAAACGCCATGTTCCTCATTTTAGTTCTCCTTTTTTGTCCCAAAGTCTGCTTGCCATGGTCCATAATGTTTGAACGAAACAACAACAGCGTGCAGCTAAACGTTACGCACTACGCAGTTGTCCACGTCTGTCGCCATACATTTTAGTTCATTGTTTAATAATATTTTCTGTGTTTTGAAAAGCCGTACACTTATTTTGATGTTGACTAGCATTCTAAAGCACATATAAAGTACTTATAAATTTAAGTAGTGTTATTCGATGTTAATATACAGTATTTTAAATGTACTAAATTGGAACTTTTTTTAAATTTGAAATTACAAATACATTTAAATGCAAGACAATTTTAGTAGAAATGGCATTATAGTGTATTTTAGTTTACCGTAAATAATTGTCAGTACATTAGAACCATATTTCAAAGACAATATGCAAAGTGGATTTGCAAATATGCAAATTTAAACTAACACATTTTAATTTAATTGCAATAAAAAGCGCTAAGTATGGGCTTATATTCTTTTGAAGTATAAATACTCCTTTTAAAAGTATAATAAAGTTTTTTTTTTCACAAGGTAGTCTAGTAAACTATTTTTGCAATAACTTGGAATACAGTATTGCATATGATATTGAGAAATATTTGAGTTTGAACAGTGATCAGTTAATAATAATTAATGCAATATATAAACAGAAATATAAATCTGTTTCTCTCTCTGTGCTGTGGTTCTGTTTAAGAAGTCAGAGATTCATCCGTAAATCTGATTTGTTCTCTTAGATGGTGTGTGTAAGAGACTGCAGAGACAAGTTAGGTGTGTGTGTGTGTGTGTGTGTGTGTGTGTGTGTGTGTGTGTGTGTGTGTGTGTGTGTGTGTGTGTGTGTGTGTGTGTTTGTGCTCAGGGCGAATCTCTATGCTTCAGTGGGTCGGCACTGAAGAATCTCGGCCTGGAAAAAATGCGGAGAATAAATGATGAAGGAGAAGAAATGGGGGGAAAAAAGAAAGAGTGATGGCTGCTGAGGCTGTTACTGTGTGTGTGGGTTTGTGCGCGTGTGTGTGCTTAGTCAACCATGAGTTCCTATTACAGAATGTCCAGTGTAAGTGAGCGGTATACGAAGACATGCACACATATAACCGATACACAGATAAATTACAGCTTGACCTCTGTGGTGTGTGTATTCAGTCCAGGTGGCTCATGGTCATTGTGTTGTGTAAAATACTAAATACTCCTCATCACTTCAGCCCGTGTGTCATTAGTTATTCTCCTCCAGTTTCTGACAGGTCAGCATCACCCCAGACCTGTAAAAAAAAAAAAATATATATATATATATATATATATATCATATACAGTATATATTCTTACAAAAATAGTTTATATTTACTACTGTTTTTTTTTTCCTTCAGTTTTTGGCATCATCCCATTACTTAAAAAACCGAATGAATTTTCCAGTCAGCAGTCATGGACACAATGCTCTGATTACTGATTAAGTCAATAAGTCAACTTCTCTTGCTAGCTGTTATTGACATTACATTATTTTACAAATCAGCCGTCAGAGCTGTCACTAAGACTTTAAGTTTAGATTTGGGTGCTTTTTTCTTAAATCTAATTTTTAAAATAAAACCGATTTTTAACTATTTTATTGAAATATAAGTTTCTTTACACATATTTAAGCAGCATCAGATTCACAATCATGCATTTTAGCTAATACAACAGCATGATTGATAGTGTGATATTTATACTGAAGTTAAATAGAAGTTACTAAAGAGAAACAATTTGGCCATATTTCTTTCTCCGCCAACACACAGACTGAAACAGAGTTGTGAAGGGAATGGACGGAGCTAGAGCAAGAGAAAGTTTCTGGAATAAATTGGCTGTTCTTTGATGCAGACTTACAAGACTTTCATAATAAAGTGACATAAAAAGTAACGGTTTCAAATTTGGAGGAGTTCTGTGGTTAAATCTTAGATAGCCCATATTGTGCAGTCTGTACACTTGGGTTAGCATCATTAAATTTCATTCGGATCAGTTATCTTTAGACATGGATGGTTGTCTTCGTCGTTTCGCTGTGATTTCTTTCTTTGCTAACATAAAATGTCTCACTCTTAAAAGCATGGTCAAACTCAAGCAAGTGCATTTTTATGCGCTGATAAGTGTTTAAAATAATAGTTTTGATGAAAATTAACCATGCTTTGGTCAGATGTGGTTTTAGAAGGGAAGGACTTTTTTCATTCTAAAGAGCATTTTATTGGACAAAGGTTTGACTATGCCTCTGAGAGCTACCTGAGTCGTCATCAATATTTTTGTAGTTTTTTTTACCATATAGAGGAAAAACTGTAAACATTTAAGTTAATTTTGTCAACTTTTCGGAGTATACAACTTACACTAGCATATAGATGGCATAAAAACGTACAGACATGGACTAAAAGCCACAAAAGTCCAATTTTGACTTCATTGGATCTTTAAGTGACAGTTTGGGGCCAAGTGCCTTCTCAGAAAATGAAATGGATAAAAGCTGTTTACTGCTGAAAACTCCCTTTTCTCTTAAAATCCCCACAGGAGCTTTTGTAGCCGATTGGTCCAATTAGAATCTGACAAGATGAGCTTCTGTCGTACCAGGCATAATGGTCACATTCAAATACATGCTGAAATTTGATTATGTAATTTGATGCTTTATTTATTTATTTATATTTTTCAGCCTGTCCATCACAGAAGTGTGTGTCTTTTAGCATTGTATTTACTAAACTCCTAATCTGCACTGACACTTCTCTAAGAAATGCCTCATTCTCACTTGTTTGTCCATTTCTTTCTTCAGTGTGAAAATGGAGTGATTGCTGCAAAACCGCTGTTCTTGTGTCTCACTGGATGACTGCCCACCAGCTGATGCCACTGGCCACATTAAATATCGCATCACTTCCTGCACATTTATTATGGTGAGATCATTGTGACAGCTGTGCAGAGCACTAAATGCAAACATACATAGACTCATTTTTTATTTAAGAAACTTAAAACAAATACCTTTATTTAATTCGTTTGCAACTAGCATAGTTGAACAGGCAGACTTTAAACTAAAATAAACAAACAAACACAATATACCAAGAAACAACAGCTTCTGCATACAATCTTACTATGCACATATTCTTATTTATACTTTTTTGTAATACTTTAAAATACATATACAGTAATAAAGAAAAAATACTTTGTTTATAGTGATTTTCTAGTTAATATATCGTAGTCTCTACTTTGTTAATATATTAATAGGCTATATACAAATAGTTCTTTATTCATTGTCACTGTAAATAACATGTATGCAGGTATGTGTGTGATATATTTGTAAACATTTTAAGGAACACTGAATATGAATGCATGTAATGAAAGCTCACAGGTATTTGAATGTTACCTGCAGTGAAATTAATTTTATTCCCAGCTCTCAATCATTATGCAGAATGAATGAACTTTCCACTTGCCTGAATATAGGACAGATAATTCCCCAGGGCTTCTGGTGTGTGTTGTGTGTGTGTGTGTGTTGCGTGCGTATGTGCGTGCATGTGTCAGTGCTTATGCATATGCATTAATTATTAGTAAGTTCCTTTAATCAATCCCTTAAGCTTGAAGCAGTATTATAGTAGTATCATTGAGATACTCTTATAAATGATAGTTTTTTGGGGGATCCTGGAACAGTGACATTGTTACTGTTATGCTACATCAAGTGTAGTGCTAATACGTTAGTGATAATTATTATTAAGAACAAATTAATCCATAGAATATTTTGTTACTTCAAGGTTAAGTAACATGTTTTTTTTTAGTTTTAAGGCCTCATAGATTAGTTTGTGTTGTATGTGCAGTATTTTTCACAGCTTGCGAGGGAACCCTATTGTTTATCTCATGTTTTTTTCCCCCCAATATATCTTTTATGCTTTTCTCTGTCGTGGGAGTACAGGGGACTCAAAAGACATCAGATCAGCTGCGTTCCATCTGTGCTGCTGTTTCAGAGTGAAAAAGCCAGCTGTAGACAACATCACTGTTTCTGTGGCAATAATTTATTGCGGGCGAGTTGCATGCTAATCTGAATTCAAATGCGACCAGTCACCAGTTCAGTGTGCAATACATTTCATTAGTGACACCTGTAAGAAACTGGTGCAAAATCGGTCAGTTTGGCCAGTTAATTCTCTTTATAGTTACTATGTGTGACTTAAATAACTATTTGTATATACTTGTCCAGCCATCTGCACATCAAGTTGCAAGTCAAAATTTACCCAAAAGACAAGATGGTCAACTCACATCAGCACACACATGGACATGGTTCACTTAGAAGTGTGTTTTGAATGTGAGTGAGAGAGATGATTGTGAGAGAGTGTGTGTGTTTCTGCATTCAACAAGAGTCAGTCTGATAAATCTGGCACCACATACACAGACATGGCTTGTATGGTCAGTTTAAACGTACACACACACACACACACACACACTCACTCACATAGGAAATAAGGAGCTGATGAAATCTGGGTCGCTGTTAGTCAGCCGTATCCAGCTCAGGATACTGTGATGCCAAGGCTGAAAACATGGAAGCATATCACAATTACAGGCACCTGCAGAGAGCTTTTCTCTTAGCAGAGCATGTTTCAAGAATAAAGATCCTATAATGGCATAAACGCATTGAAACATCAATATTGATGAACATGTTTTCTTAATATGAGTCAGTCAGTTCTTATAAGCATAAAGGAAGGACAGCTTGTGTTATCTGAAGCACTCCAGAGACAGACTTCACTCAGTCAACAGCAGTGATCAAACAGATCAGAGGATTAAAATAGAAAAAATATTCTCCTTAATATAGACAAAATAGATAAACACTTATGTGAAAATAATAGAATCATAATAGCCGATTAAATCACAAAAACTCTTGAAACTGCAAGAACCTCCTGATAAATTCTGAGGGGGGAAAATACAAATTTGGATTGTTTACACATGCAGTGCAGTGTGTTTGGTAAAGACCAAGTTAACAGCCTGCAGAGATAACCTCTATTCGACATAAAATATTAATATTCTGTTAAAAAATTCAGACTGAAGCACCTTACTCTCGTTTATCGACACCTCTTGCTTTTCGACAGATTCGTACTTTAACACTATAAGACTAGCATGCCGGTGTGGGATAGTAGTCTAATGGTCCGGACCTGTGGGCTGCTGTACGTGAACTTTACATTTTTCTGCTCGCGCGCGGTAAAACGTTTGGTCCGAGCGCACAAATGGACACGGGTTTTGTGGCTGAATATAGGAGGTTTAAACGACGTCTTTGAAGTGGACGCTTCCCAGGGTCGCGTGCCGATTTTTCTGAGCTGTATGCGGACTGCGCACGCGGGTCCGCAGTGGCGGGTTGCGCGCGTGCGTTTGCGCGTACGCGGGTGCTGCTGTTGTAATTTCACGTCACATCAAGTTTGATCAGCGGTCCGATTGGATGATCTACAGTGCTGTCCTGAATTGAGAAGCTCTTGTGCTTGTTTGCTCGTATTCGGCTCTCGTCCTGTAGCCCGAATGCACCTATCCGGCATCGCGTGAGGGAGTCGGTGCACATCTGGAGGATTTTGTTGTCGCCCTCTCGCCCGGTCTGGATGTTGCGCGCGAGCTGAAGAATTCTAGAGGTCGGAGACAAAATGCGGCGGCGAGCGCACGCGAGCGTCCTGCTCCTGCCGTGGCTGGTGCTGCAAACACAGGCAGGCTTTCCAAACCAGATCAATATCGGTAAGTGATTTGATTATGTATTGCTTAAAAAATAAAACATCTCCCCTTGTACACGTGCTGATCCTCATCTACCTGTAACCTGCTGCATCACCCACATATTCTTAATTCGAGAAGTTTGCACCTCTAGCGCCAAACAGAGTGTGAATTATATGAATGGCACTACTACTATCCCTCACTCGAACAAGTGTAAATTCAGGTAGATGTTATCTCTAGATCCTAACTCATCTGATCTCACATACAGGTGGTCTCTTCATGCGCTCCACGGTTCAGGAACACAGCGCGTTCCGCTTCGCCGTTCAGCTCTACAACACCAATCAGAACATTACTGAGAAACCCTTTCACCTGAATTATAACGTGGACAATCTGGAGTCGTCCAATAGCTTCTCAGTCACGCACGCGTGTGAGTCTCTGCTCTTTTTTTCATACATACAATTATGCGGGACATCCGCACCTGTTCTCCTTTAAGTGTTCATAACGATATATATATATATGTATAGCATCATAGACATTATAGGAGGATTTAGAAAAGACTTGTTCTTGCGCTCTTTGAGAATAAAAGCTCCTAATTCTCACCAAAGAAGAAACCTCGCTTGGTTTGCAAGGACATCTTGTGAGGAGGCAGGAGACATCCCTCAGATTCTAATTTTTAAAACAAACAGAAACAATTCGAGCAATGAGTCACAGTACCTTGATCATTTTCACAATGTAGGTGTTGAGAAAATTCAATTGCGTGGAAGTCTCATAGTACATGCATGTACAATATTCCCTCACATCAAGTCTCAATTTCCATAATTTCTCAGCCCACACCATATAAATAAGACTGTTGATCTGTCCTGTTTCTGATATCTGAGAGTATGTCACTGAATCCTATTCCGTTTTACCGGTTGTTACAAACTTTAAAGTTCATTGCATGCATTAAGTATGCTTTTTTTTTTTTTCAAGTGTTCTTCTTCTTTCTAGTCTAGCTAGGGGACTAGACGTCAAAAGGCGTCAGCGTTCGTCATGAAGCGCTGCCCCCACACAACTGCAAAAGACACATGCTCCATTTGTCTCATTTAAACATTTTCTCCAGTGAATTCATAAAATAAAACACAACCAAATATAAACTGTAATATTTAGTCCTTAAACACAGAGAAAATGTTCAAAAATGGAGCGAGTGTAGTAAAAATGTATAATTTTGTTGGAGGTGACAAAAAGCTAAGGTTTTCATTTCCAATAATGAAGTTATTTATTTGTAGTTATTATTATTTCAATATCAAGAAAAAGAAAAGAAAGTGAGTGAAAAAGAAGAAAAAAGAAAAATAAAGACTGATAGTGTGAGAAGTTGGCAAAGAAGAGGAATGGAGAGAAAGAAATGTGAAAAAACTCTTCCGTGGCACAAGCCTCAGGTCTTTATAATGGAGAGATGAAGAAAAAGGGAGAAGGACTGCGAGAGAAAGAGCGATGATGATGAGTGCAGGCTGACATTTGCACACATGCCCAAACCAGTGCAAGGGTTAGTGCCCTGCACTCTCTGTGTGTGTGTGTGTGTGTGCGTGTGTGAGAGTGAGAGAGCTTTACCATCATTATAAAATGCCTGTTTACAGCTGCTGTCATTACCGTTTTGTGTCTCTGACTGGCCTGGCTGCTCATCTGAGCGTGTCTATGTGAGAGACAGTGTTTGTGAGCTTTTGGTTTCCTCTCTTATCATGGTGTTATTGCTGCAGTCATTGATCTTTCTTCACTGCATTAACACACACACACACACACACACACACACACACACACACACACACACACACACACACACACACACACGCTGCTCCAGGCATCAGGTTGGCCCATTGGACAAAAAACCGCTGGGCTTTTAAAAACATAATAAAAAGATTTTCCAAGTGGAGAAATATGCACATACCTCTCAGACTCTGAAGGTGATTTTAAAGTTTAATGAATAAACTGTGGAGATGCTCTCAAAGCTCAAAGTACATATCCAGGAATAACATGACAGGAATGACAAAGTGCTTTAACAGGGATGCAAGAATGGTTCATAAATAGAGACAGACACTTATTTTTCTCTCTGGGGTGGTGTTTGAATCAGAGCACACAAACTTTTGTATGCAGGGCCTGTATTAGTCAGGTGTGAGCTGGTTTTAGCTCAGTCCAGTCGCTCACAGTGTTGCGAGTGCGATTTGTGCGTCAAACGGATCCTGCGAGAAAAGGTTTTGACAACACACGTATGCAGTGACCCTGCTGTTTTAATTGAGGCAATCTGTGTAGTGAAGAGAAAACGGTAGGGGTCAGAGGGTTTGTAAACAGGTTATTTTTCACTCCTTTGCTCTCCCTCTCTCTCTCTCCCTTTCTACGATTTTCCGTCATCTCATCATTTTTTTCCTTATTGCTCCCTGAAGCGTTCAAGACAGTGGCGTAGCAAGTCAGTCCCGGGCCCATATGCAAAAAAAATGTGTACGGGCCCCCCTAACCCTGCCCCCGAAGTACATTGAGATTCATTTATCAGACTGATCTCATGAAATGGCGTATATGACACACCAATTCGTATTTCCATTTTTGGCGTGCTATCAACACGCATAATCGCTTTTCAGCGTGTTTATCAACGCCGTTGACTTAACGTTACATTACTGTATATAAATATATGACCTAACAGTTACCCCAACCCCGTCCCTAAACCTACCCGTCACTGGGGTTAATACTATTTATGAGTCTTCCCCTACCATCCTAGGAAAAAAAATATTGCTCCACAGATGTATATGAATTTTGCTTCGTTTCGCTCGGACATTTAACGGCGTACACATACACGCGGAATCACTCGGACATTTAACGGCGTACACATACACGCGGAATCACTCGGACATTTAACGGCGTACACATACACGCGGAATCACTCGGACATTTAACGGCGTACACATACACGCGGAATCACTCGGACATTTAACGGCGTACACATACACGCGGAATCACTCGGACATTTAACGGCGTACACATACACGCGGAATCACTCGGACATTTAACGGCGTACACATACATGCGGAATCACTCGGACATTTAACGGCGTACACATACACGCGGAATCACTCGGACATTTAACGGCGTACACATACATGCGGAATCACTCGGACATTTAACGGCGTACACATACATGCGGAATCACTCGGACATTTAACGGCGTACACATACACGCGGAATCACTCGGACATTTAACGGCGTACACATACATGCGGAATCACTCGGACATTTAACGGCGTACACATACATGCGGAATCACTCGGACATTTAACGGCGTACACATACACGCGGAATCACTCGGACATTTAACGGCGTACACATACATGCGGAATCACTCGGACATTTAACGGCGTACACATACATGCGGAATCACTCGGACATTTAACGGCGTACACATACATGCGGAATCACTCGGACATTTAACGGCGTACACATACACGCGGAATCACTCGGACATTTAACGGCGTACACATACATGCGGAATCACTCGGACATTTAACGGCGTACACATACACGCGGAATCACTCGGACATTTAACGGCGTACACATACATGCGGAATCACTCGGACATTTAACGGCGTACACATACATGCGGAATCACTCGGACATTTAACGGCGTACACATACACGCGGAATCACTCGGACGTTTAACGGCGTAGACATACTCGCAAAAGATGACGGTTCGTTTCGGCGTGGACATACACGCGGATAGCTCAAAATGCGTATAGATAACACGCCACTTGACTTGAAAGTGGCGTAGATGTTTACGCAAAGTCATGATGCCATGTTGCATTTATAGACGTTCACTGTAGTGTATCAAGAAAATACCATACCAAACAATACCATAAAAAACACTCTACCCAACAACTTTTCACAACCAGAACGGAACAAAAACAAGTCTAAAACCAACCAAGGCTCAGCCAATGTCAATAATAAACTAATCTTGGCACCGCGGCCCAAAATGTAAAAAACATAAAACTACTTACTCATTTAGTTGCATTCTACGGGCCTTTCTTTCGGCAAATTCATCCACGAGCACGATGTCATTGGTGTTTCATTCATGGCTTTGTGCATTCTCGATGGAAATAATTGCCAGTCCCGATAGTCTGTTTATTAGCTTCAGTTTTGAAAATGAGGGCTCCGCTGAAGCAACAGTAGGGATGGTAAGAGAGAACTAAACCTTCTTTTTTCTCTTTAAGGCCCCACTTTTATGTTTGTATTTTTCCATCCTTTAATGTTCAATTAGCTAGCGTCTAGTAACCTCTCTCACACTGTGTTTTCTTTTTTTAATTTGACGCGGCGATGCCGTAAAAAATTACGGTACAGTTCTACGGCAGCCGCGGGGTGCAAAAAATAATAAACGCATAATAAATGCACACAAGAAATGACGAAGAAATTAGACATTATGGAGAAACAAGAAATTATTACACATGACATGCATACAAAAAATATATTTATTGTGGCTACACTTTAAAAATGAATTAACTTGTTTTAATTAAAAGTTCCCCATGGGCGGGCCCCCTATCGGCCCGGGCCCATTTGCACGTGCATACCCTGCATGCCCAGACGCTACGCCACTGGTTCAAGAGACAGATGAAAAGAAGGGCAGAAAGGTAGTAAGCAGATGTAACCTGCTTGCTCAGAAAAACAAATGAAGGAGAGAGAGACATGTAATCATTACCATGTCTCTCTGTATAATTTCTGCACCACTAGTGTCACCAAACAGAATTGCAAAAATAACGACGGCATGAAATTGAAATTCACCCTATCTATTTTCTAAATGCATGTTATTGATCTTACTGAACGAAATGCATTTCATTAAAAAAAAATGTTTTTATCAAAATGGCTTGATCTTCTGGTGCAGTGTCACAACACTTCTCTCTGGTCGGATTTCTAGTGTCTGACTTCTATAAAATAAGTTCGTCCTCATAAACTGCCCACTTTCTTACAATCAGTTTTGTTTTTCCTTTCTATAATCCGTTTCACTAATATGTAGTACATCACAATACATAAGAAAATATTTAGGGTTCTCCGATTGATCTGCGACCAATCGCTATCGGCCGATAATCGCAAATCTCTCAATTTGCCGATCTCAAAAACAATCTCATGCTCTGTCCAGCGCGGGTAAAAATTTTTATTAGATTAGATTCAACTTTATTGTCATTGTGCAGAGTACTAGTACAGAGCCAATGAAACGGAGCATATAACCAGAAGTGTAAACAGTAAATGTATATATATATAAATCTAAACATATATATATATATATATATAAAATAAACTTATTATAGGAGTGCAAAATATGAGGTATGTCTTTTTTTTGTGAATTCATTTCAGCGTTTGAAATCAGGCTTGTGCTATGTGCAACAAAATTGCCCCATTGTAAAAACAAAAATGCACTGCATGTTCAAACATGTAGGTGAGATAATTATAATTTTTTTTAAAAATGTCTAAAAAAACTACCCCTCCCCCCTCAAAAAAATAAAACAATAATCCCTCCTGCAAGATTCACCTACTGTCTGATTGGAGCATTCCTATAAATAATTCTACAAAAAGGTTTCAAATGGATCATTATCGGTGATCACTTTCGGCAGATATACTGGCTCCTATTAACGACTGGCTCCAAAAATCCTGATCGGAGCACTCTTACAGGGGTCATCGGATGCAAAATTCACTTTTATATGGTGTTTGCATATAAATGTGTCTTTGCAGTGTGTGGACACAACCACCATACAATGAAAAAAATCCATTCACTCCCAGGCAGCACTTTATTTGTCTTGTGTAACACCCCCTATGGACTAGAAGGGTGGGGTGAGCAGTTGCTCATTATCATTTAAAGAGACATGCACCGAAACGGGTCGGTGTGAACAGAGCTTTTTTTGAGAAAGTAAAAAGGGTGTTGTTTTACACAACCATTGAGGAATTTTAACCAAAGTATGTTACAAACTTTACATGAAGACCCTAAAGAATCATACCAACTTGTGGAAAATGGGCATCCGATGACCCCTTTAAGGCCAATTCACATCGCACCGACAGACGCAGACCAACGCCGACAGTCACCAGACTACAGCATGCCACTTCTCAGACATTCTGAATGTTCAATCGGCGAAAACAAGCTCCGACAGATTCCAACAGACTCCGACAGGGGTAACTCACTGATCCGACAAAAACCCAGACGAATTGTCAGAGCGGTGTGAATTGGCCTTTCGAAAATATCTGTCACTACTTCTGTTTTGCGCCTTTAAAGATGCAACAAAAAGGAATTTCTAATAACTGCTAAAAACAGAGAATCTGCACTTCACAGTGCATATGCAGACTGACCGAGTCTCATAAATGTTGATTCCATATTTAAATTGATATGAAATGGATGCATATTTGTTTTGCCTTCAAATTATAGCTCATATTTTTTGGGAGAGAACACAATGCAAATGGCCACTGATATATTGTGCACCTATATAGTTATCAAACAGGTTTTTCAAACACTCAAGCCTCATCTGTAATTGGTCAGACAAACAGAAAGTCCCACCACATCATTGGCTGAGCAATGTTTTGATTGCACCACAGAGCCACGGTGTTTACACTTTTCAGGAAAATCAACCTACACTTAGTTATAGATGACTCTATATTAAGCTGAGAAAAAAGAAAGTATTGTAACAAAAAAGTACACTCTTCAGCTTTAAGGACTAAAATGAGAGAGTGAGTAAGAACTGAATGTGTCTTTCTGAACTACAGTGATCGTTTGGTTTGTTCTATCATGGTGAGAGCTGCTTTCCACTGAGGCGCAATCAATATAGAAAGAGGACAGGACAGGACCACACTCACACACACTAAAACATATACCCCCCCACACACACAAACACACACTAAAACATACACCCACACAAAAACAGCACTCATTGTGTGTAGATATGATGTGTATGGTTATCTTTCTTCTTTGGACTCGTTTAATGAATATCCAGTTGGTGAATGCCTGCTGCTATAGTATTCTCCCATAGCAAACTTCGGTAGTAGAAAACTATTTCTGTCATATTTATAATAAATGTCAATCACAAATAATTGCATTATATTATAATACAGTAGGCTACTGTATATCATATATATTATTAACCAGAAGCTTTGAATACATTTAGTGTGAAGGTGGATTATATCAATATTGCTTTATTCTGTTATGTAACACTTCCTCAAGATTTCATTTTGTGCCTAATTTTTTCACTGTTTGTGCTTTGTGCTTCAGTAGAAGTTGCAGTGGCCACTGAGGCTTAATGTGGAAACGTTCATGTATAGAGTCCATTCAGGACTCGCTTGAACAATTACTAAAACATCCAATAGTGTCAGCAAAAAATATAGGCTGTGTGTCTCACTGATCATTGTCCAAGTGCTCTGATGTTTTTTTTGTGAAAAGATCCCAATAGTTAATCGGTATTAAAAGTAAAATCATGGCGGGCACCATTGCGCTCCTGTGCACCAAACAGCCTCCGCCACCTACTGGACTGGAGTGTGAAGTGATGGGTGGTGCACAGGAAAGCAATGGCAGCCACCACAATTTTAGTGGATTAAAATTCTGCTCATTAAAAAACAAACACATTTTGACTGACTGCTAATTGAAATATTGAGGATGTTTCCCCTTCAGTGTCTTTGGTGGGTATGGCTCTATGTATAGGCCTGTGTGTGTGTGTGTGTGTTTGTATGTTGTGAGTGTTTGCAAAGGTGGTCTTTGTTGTTGTTGTTGTTTTTTGCTGTACCGAAGCTCTCAATTGTGTATGAATATATTTTCTTTGCTGCATGACCATTTGAGCATTCTTTTTTTCAAGCGTAGGCTGTGTATGTGTGTGTTTATCTGTGTGTGATGATTTTTAACCTCTGGGCTCTCTGAGTAATTTGACATTTGCTTGTATTTTCTTCCTTTTCTCCCTCATGCTTACATGCCACATAATTCTTTTGCCTTGCTTTTTTGTTTGTATGTCTTCGGGACACATTTGGGAACATTTGCCCCGTTTGGTCCTTTTCCTAGAATCAACTAACCTCTAATCCTTCCATAGTCCCTTATTCTCTCATATTCTCTTCTTTTCAAGAGGCAGGTGTTTGTGTAAGGCAAAAAAAAAATTGCTTTGGGAAACAAATAGTAAAAATGTACTCTTTCTGGATAACATATGGTTGTAAATATTCAGTTAATAAGACAGCAAAAGCTGAATTTTCTAAAGATTCATTCATGGTTAGGGTCGTGGAGACGTCAGTGAACTCAATCTGTCTACTGTCAGCTTAGCTACATGGTTGCTAGATTTAGAAACATTTGCAGTTTATCTTTAAATAATTTAGATGACTACTGCATTTAGGGTATTTTAAAATAAATAAATAACAAGACATTTGATTTGGATTTTAGAAGAATGTACGCCATATTGCAATACATGCAGTCTGTGAAATCAAATATGATGTCATAATCTCTCCCTATCTACTAACAGGCTATTGTCTCTTCAGGGTTTTTTTTTAAGACATACTCAGACACACACATACACAAGTACATACACTCAGTAGAGAGTGTCATAATACAAAATGCTTGTAAGTTTGTGTGCCTAATGTTTGTTTATTTTAAAATGTACTGACTGATGCTTCCATCTCTTTCTTGGTCTGGCAGTCTGTTCTCAGTTCTCCAGGGGTGTGTATGCAATATTTGGATTCTATGACAGGAGGTCAATGAACACATTAACATCGTTCTGCGGCGCTCTGCACACCTCCTTCATCACTCCATCTTTTCCCACGGACACAGATGTGCAGTTTGTCCTGCAGATGAGGCCGAGCCTCCGGGGGGCGCTGCTCAGCTTGCTAGCCCATTACAAATGGGAGAAATTTGTCTACCTGTATGACACTGATCGAGGTGAGTAAACACACACACACACACACACACACACACTAACGCGTATACTGTCAGTTGCCAAGTATTCGAACACTAGGAATAGTTCGCGATAACAAAAGAAGATATTTTGAGAAATGTGTTGTTGTTTTTTATTCAATGGAAGTCAGTGCTCACCAAAACTGTTTGATTACCAACATTCTTCAACATATCTTCTTTTGTGTTCTGCAGAAGAAAGAAAGTCATACAGAGGGTGGTACGACATTCTTTGGGTAAACTATACCTTTAAAGTTGTAATGAAATTGAGGTAGCAACAGATCTTTTCTTCCATATTGTGACGCCGAGTCAGCATCTTTAAACAGCTTATTGTGTGTAACAGCATATTGTGTGTTACTGGGAGACACAACTTTTCTGGTTAGTTTGGAACTTGGGAAAAAACACTCACTTGTATGAAAAAAACAATCACTCATTTCATTGTAAAATAGAGCAAAAACAGTCAGAATTGACAACGTTGTGTCTATAAATGAAAAAAATAATTTACTTCTTGTTTATTGAACTGTTGTATAAAATAAATATCACAAATTGCAATCGTACTGATATTCAAGAAAATAGCACTCTTGCTAGTGTGATATTGCTTAACAATATTATGTTATAAACACAAAATACAAGAACTCATACAAGGGCAATTCATATCTTGAATTTTGGATGCATTTTTATTTATTTTAGTGGTATTTCTGACCTTGTATGACGCATGTTTACGTCAACAGCAGACTAGCTCGCTTGTGCTTAAGCTTAAAAAGGGGCAAAATATATTTGCCCATGTGATACAAGCCATTTTTTGATATTGAATAAAAAAATGTTTTCTTTATAAGGAGGATGTTTTAATCTATGAAAGTTGCAGTATGCTTTCTTGGTACAAATACCTCTTATATGTCAAAAGATCAAGGCATATTTGATTTCTCATGTGATGACCCCTTTAATGGAGGGCTATTGACTAAGTTAGGCTGGCTGTATTGAGATGTTTAAATAGTTGTTTAATTTCACAGTGGTGACAAACAGTGCCGAGGTTTAGTGCAGACAAGATCGTTACCTGGGTGTCACCAGTGAAGCAGATCCGGGAGACGTGGATGCCGCTCGCCTGCTCTCCTGAGCGCTGTGGTGACTGTGACAAGGGATGTCGGAGAGGGGGAGGGGCTCGTGCGGCCTCACAGAATTATTAAGAATAAGTTGTCGGGCACATGCTGAGAATTGATGCCACGGGCCAAATTGAAACAAAAACTAAAATATAAAATAAAATAAAAAGTGTCTAGTCAGAGGCCAAAATGGCAGGTGCTTGAGCACCACTTAGGGTCTATCTGTGCACGTGCCTGATGAGTTGTAAAGGTCTAATGTCTGCTTTTGTTCACACAAATATTAGAAACCAGATTTTTACAGCTAAAGCAGTAGACATCACTCCTCGTATCAGGTATTGTGACAGCAGAGTCAAACATTGGTATAATGGAGGACAGTTTTCCTTTCTGTTTGTGTTCCAAATCACCTGATGGGCTTACGGCCAACAATCACACATTTTTTTCCTAGCTTGTTTACTCTGAAGAGAGTGCTTACAGGGACAGTTTAAGATAACGAGAGAGACAGTGTTTTGTTTTCTCCAGGGATCCTCCTTAATGGATTAAAGCCATCATACTAATGCACAGAATATTTAGAGTAACTGTGTACTTACAGCTAGAAGTTAATGGAATTTTGTTTGGACCTCCACTTCTTAATACAATAGGTGTCAAAATTCAGAGACCTCATTGATCATTTGTACAAAAGGTCAGATTTTCTTCCATTGAAGCACAAGATCATGCTCTTTGGAATCTGATCATTCTCAAATCATGATACAGTGAAGACCGTCTCAATCTGTTACCACCCTTGAAATCATCCACTACAGTCAGCAGGGAGTTGTGCTGGTAGTGCCAAACTTTAAATGGCTTTACATCACCACAGGGCTCTTGGATCTGTTAAATATGCTAAACAGTGACGATTAAAAAAAAGCTGCGTGAGATTGGAGCCTTGGCTTGATGGTTCACATAAACATTCAGAGACATCGAGTTGTGATGTTCAGATGGGTGCCGCAATATTTGGCAGAGATGCTCAATAAATAATTCAAAAGGCCAAGTATATAATTTGGAAAATTAATCTGTTAGAGGTTAAGAGATATTTAATGAAGGGCTGTAAAAGATTTTGTCCATACAGTGTTTAGCAAGACCCTCTTAATTGCTAATGAGGAACAATGTTTAATTAACTCATAAACCTTTGCAGGTCTGAGCGCTGCTATCACATGGCACGTGCCCTTCCTCTTAATAACATGTATGACTTTAAGATTTGAAGTGCCTGAGTGTATGTTATTTGAATTCTCACCTCTCTGCAAGCTGTCAGTCTTGATTAATTGGTCACTGCTAAACAGCCTTGCGGTCTGGCACTCTAGGACGTATGCTAATTAAAATAGTGATTGAGTGTATGTGTGCGCGTGTTGTCCTATAATAAATGTGGTCGCGGGGCTAAAAACGAGATCAAATAGAACAGGGCTGATTTGTGCCCTGTGTGTGTGTATGGCCTTGAGCTGGAGGTGATAAAGGGTGTTATTGCTTTTGTTTGCTTTGAATCCTTTAACAGGTTAAGTCTATCTATCCATCTATCCATCTATCATCTATTCTAAAATATGTTTTATTTTTTGCACCACTTTCCTTAGTGATCTTTTTTTCTTCTCTTGAATACATAAAGGATGGAAAGACTTTTTTCCCCAAAATGTTTCCGGTAATCATAGCGTATATCAGAGCAAACAAAACCCTCACTCGCTGAGGTGGGGTGCCTATCCAGGGGTCTAATATGTGCTGCAGTGGATCTGATGTATTGCAGAAGACCTGATCAGTTGCGTAAAATATATGATCTGCAGTGGATCTGATCTATAGTGGAACGTATCAGAGAAATACATGAACGAAGGCCACAAACATACTGTTTGCATATGCATAAAATATGTACATTCTGCCATTGCATTAGTATCATTGGTGCAGAGTTGCAGTAATTACATTCACCATGTCTCTTTCTCAGCCTTCCCTCCTTTCATCCCTTCAGATTTGCACTGCATCAGCAGTTCCTGTGTGTTCTCAAACCAGAGAGAGAAATGAAGCTGTACTTGCTCCATCATTCTGGCCCAATTCTGCCCTGTTACTACATCTGCACAGGCCCGGTGTAGCAGTGTTTTTCACTCCATGTATTATTCTCTCTTTTTCTCTCAGGGTTTTCCATCCTACAGGCCATCATGGAATCCGCAGTGATGAATAATTGGCAAGTGACGGCGCGTTCAGTGGGGAACATAGTGGATCCGCTGGAATACCGACGCATTATTGAAGAAATGGATCGTCGGCAGGAGAAACGCTTCCTTATCGACTGTGAGGTTAAACGCATCAACAGTATTCTAGAGCAGGTAAATAGAAACACATAATTTCATCTGTCGGCCTGTGAGTCTGTTTACAGTGACTGTCTGTCATAGTGGAAAGTTCTCAGTCTTGTGGTATCGATCAATACCTTTCCAAAATTCAACTGTCGTTAGCGAATAAGGTGATAAAAATAGTGTGTGTGAAAGCGTGCGTGTGTTTGTCTAAGTAGGGCACAGCGTCCTATAACAAGGGAACAGTGAGAAAACTAAAAATACTCCCTTTCCTCTCATCCAAAAATACAGCTCTCAAAGGTACTGTTACATTCTCCGATTCTGTTTGTCTCTTTCACTTATTCTTTCTCTTTTTTTTACCCTCTGTCTATATTTTCCTGTTTTTTTCCCCACACACTCATATGCATTGAGACAGTAGAGAAGAATGTGTGTGCGTGTGTGTGTCACTAGGAGGTCACAGAGATAATGAAATCCACAAGTAGATCAATCAGTGCTCAGAGAAAGCTAATAAGAGCTCTGCGCTTTCAGCAGACTGGCTGTCTGTTGCTATTTGTAAATCAATAGCTGTGTGTGGGTGTGGTTGTGGTTGTGGTTGGGTCATACCTTTATGTTGTGCTGGCACAGCACTAAAAATTTCAATATTGCCAATGTATTCAAGCACTGCAACTTTGTAGAGCAATAAATAATAACAGTCCTGTGATGTGTGGGAATATGCATTGAATATGCATGCATCCAACAGGTTCAAGCAGGACAATGGAGACAGTTCATTCATATCTGATTACGTAACAATGGGCACTACTGACCTGATTGGATTAGTGAAAAAACATTTTAAATCTATCTATCTGTGTGTATAAAGATTTTCCCTAACATAAATGTTGTGGTAGTAACACTTGACATTTTTCATTTAACCCTCATGTGGTGTTCGGGTCAATTTGACCCGGAGAAGATTTTCTTTTTCCCGAAAATACTAGTTAATGTTATCGCTTTGGACTGAAACTTAGTGACTTTGTTCCCAAACGGTATAACTAAATCTCAGTGTTTTTTTGAAAATTTTCTTATTTTTTTGTGGGAGTATTGTTACCTTGTTACACTTGTGGTGTTCCCGGTCAAAAATGACCGGCCTATAAAAAATAGCTTATAAGTCACTCATTATACCATATTTTCACCCAATCTTGGATTCAATCTTTTTGTCAACTTGTTCTCTTTCAATTAGGACTGGTTTTATATTTCTGTTTGAATCTGATTAATCGTGGGCCTCATTTGTCTGAGAGTAGGCATCTCATTTTTTGAGTAAAAAACAAATAATTTATGAGTAAATTTGGAAATATGAAAAAAATATATGAAAAAAATGGCTACGGTTGATCACACTAGTCTACTCTAATGTTTCACCAGGAATTTTGTTTTGAAACTTTTGTTTTGTGAAAAAAAATGGCACATAGTCACACTTGTGGTGTTCCCGGTCAAAAATGACCGGCCTATAAAAAATAGCTTATAAATCATTCATTATACCATATTTTCACCCAATCTTGGATTCAATCTTTTTGTCAACTTGTTCTCTTTCAATTAGGACTGGTTTTATATTTCTGTTTGCATCTGATTAATCGTGGGCCTCATTTATCTGAGAGTGGGCATCTAATTTTTTGAGTAAAAAACAAATAATTTATGAGTAAATTTGGAAATATGAAAAAAAAGTATGAAAAAAATGGCTACTGTTAATCACACTAGTCTACTCTAATGTTTCACCAGGAATTTTGTTTTAAAACTTTTGTTTTGTAAAAAATATGGCACATAGTCACACTTGTGGTGTTCCCGGTCAAAAATGACCGGCCTATAAAAAATAGCTTATAAATCACTCATAATACCATATTTTCACCCAATCTTGGATTCAATCTTTTTGTCAACTTGTTCTCTTTCAATTAGGACTGGTTTTATATTTCTGTTTGCATCTGATTAATCGTGGGCCTCATTTATCTGAGAGTAGGCATGGTCAAAAATGGTCACAATGGCCGACCATTGAAAGTGAATGGGAGAGACTGAAAATAACAGAACAATTTAGTTTTCAGGAGCATGTTCATTATTTTCATGTACACATATGAGCATGTGTGCTTGCAAACATTGAGCCCTTGGACCTGTGCATGTATCGATACATTTATACACACGCTACCCAGACACACACACGTTAAAACACACAAACTTTTTTGAGTATTACACACATTCTTTTCCACAGAGAGAAATTTGATCCTACCCTAACCTGCATCTAATATACATTTATCCATCTGACATTACCACACACACACACACACACACACACAAACTGGCCGTTACTGCAGTGACCCGGCTTCAAAAGAATCTTTCTTTCATGGTCTTGTTTCATCACAGCTTCCAGACAAAGTATTATGACATTTTGTTTTGGAACTGTGAGGTTCTCACACAGAACTAGACAATATTTACAAATATACATCATGTGATAGCACAGGCATATATAAAATGCCTCACAGCACCTTGCTTGTCATTCATTTGTGGCAGCACAATGGCAAAACAGCTCTGCACATGATGTTATTCATCAGATTTTTGACTCAGAAACTAGTGAGGAGGAGGACATTTAGGATGCATCTTGCAGTGAAGATGTTTCTGAAGAGGAAGGCCTTCAGAAGAAAACCTGCCTTTCCTCATAGGTGGGGATGAAGGCCAGGACAAAGTTCCATCTTTTGACCAGAATGAAACGGTAACCTCAGCTGGGCCCTCATCACTGGAAGACTGCTCCTCATCAGTTGTTTCAAGCTCCGTAGCCGATTCAGTGGTGCCTTCCTCTTCAGAAACATCTTCACTGCAAGATGCATCCTGAATTTTCTCCTCCTCACTAGTTTCTGAGTCAAAAATCTGATCACGGCCTGTGTGTGTGTGTGTGTGTGTGTGTGTGTGTGTGTGTGTGGTAATGTCAGATGGATAAATGTATATTAGATGCAGGTTAGGGTAGGATCAAATTTCTCTCTGTGGAAAAGAATGTGTGTAATATTTAAAAAAGTTTGTGTGTTTTAACATGTGTGTGTCTGGGTAGCGTGTGTATAAATGTATCGATACATGCACAGGTCCAAGGGCTCGATGTTTGCAAGCACACATGCTCATATGTGTACATGAAAATAATGAACATGCTCCTGAAAACTAAATTGTTCTGTTATTTTCAGTCTCTCCCATTCACTTTCAATGGTCGGCCATTGTGACCATTTTTGACCATGCCTACTCTCAGACAAATGAGGCCCACGATTAATCAGATGCAAACAGAAATATAAAACCAGTCCTAATTGAAAGAGAACAAGTTGACAAAAAGATTGAATCAAAGATTGGGTGAAAATATGGTATAATGAGTGACTTATAAGCTATTTTTTATAGGCTGGTCATTTTTGACCGGGAACACCACAAGTGTGACTATGTGCCATATTTTTTACAAAACAAAAGTTTCAAAACAAAATTCCTGGTGAAAATGTTAAGTTGACTAGTGTGATCAACAATACCAATTTTCTTCAGATTTTATTTAATATTTCCAAAATTATTCAAAAATTTTAAAAAAAATTACTCAAAAAATGAAATGCCTACTCTCAAATAAATGAGGCCTATGATTATTCAGATGCAAATCAAAATATAAAACCAGTCCTAATTGAAAGAGAACATGTTGACAAAAAGATTGAATCCAAGATTGGGTGAAAATATGGTATAATGAGTGATTTATAAGGTTTTTTTTATGGCCCGGTCATTTTTGACCGGGAACACCACAGGTGTTATAGTTTTTTTTTTATTTTTTTATTTTTTATATTTGGCTTTATTTGTGATTTCAAATATTCCATGACGTGGCAGAAACTATTACCCATAAAATGACAATAAAAGACCTTGTCACTCTTGGCCCGTGACTTTTCCCTAGTATTCAGCTATACTAATAATAAAAAGAAAGACGCCATTATTTTTCCCCAGTGCACTCCCCACCAATTATTTACTAATAATAAAAAGAAAAACGCAAGCAAACTTTTTCTTTCCTCTGCTGGGACTGCAAAGTCCCCATAGTTACAGAATCGCCCTTCTGCAGTTAAGGCTTTTGCATTTAATTTCGCCTGTCATTCGTTGGTTTTGATGTCATGTCCACATAAACTATCAGACATAATGCTGGATGACACCCTTCCATTCTTTTATTTCCAGGTTGTGATCTCAGGAAAGAACAGTCGAGGATATCATTACATCCTGGCTAATCTTGTGAGAAAATACACACACATGCAAAGAGCTCTTATTTCCTAACCTTCTGTGAGTGACCTTTCACTTTTGACTATTGGCCATTGCTCTCTGCAGGGGTTCTCTAACATGAGTTTGGATAAGGTGTGTTCAGGTGGAGCAAATATTACCGGATTCCAAATCATAAATTCTGATAGCCCGATTGTGCAGCAGTTTCTCCAGCGCTGGGAGCGGCTCGATGAGAGAGAGTTCCCTGAGTCTAGAAACACTCCCCTAAAGGTCTCTCTCTTTATTTCCATGCTTATTTATGTGCATTTGTGATGTGTTTATTTGGGAGTGTGCCACTTGTGAATATGCTTGTATGTGTAATTTATGATAGCATATTTTGATGAGTTTAATGTAGCAGTCATGCAGTAGTTTTATTAATCTCTTTATCTCTTTTTTGTTGTTTCTTACCTATGTTGCTGAAATTCTCCCATACTGCACCTTTATTTAATAGAATATGAGCACTCATTTGGCCAAAATGCAGTGTATTGAAAAAACTGCTAGTCTTGTGGTTCTCTTTCTATACTGATGTCTCCATGAATGCAAACCGTTTGTCTGTTTGTTGTCATGTTTAGTATACATCTGCACTGACACACGATGCCATCCTGGTGATCGCTGAGGCATTTCGGTATTTGAGACGTCAGCGCGTTGATATTTCCCGTCGAGGGAGTGCAGGCGACTGCCTTGCCAACCCGGCCGTACCATGGAGCCAGGGAATCGACATTGAAAGAGCTCTCAAAATGGTAGGAGGGGTCCACAAAGGGCCTCAGACAAAGAGCTGAGAGACTTCTTCTAAGAGTTAAAAAAAAACTGCAACATTCACATTTTTTACTATAAATGAATGTTCAATACTGTTTAGATATGCATTTACTTTTGTGTTTATTTTCACCTGCATGGTTAAATGATATCTACTGTATATTACCTTTTAATAATGTTGTTTCATGCTTTTCTTTTCTTTTTATCTTGCTTGTTATTTTGTGGGTGTTACTGTTCCTGTGTGCTTTCCTTCTGCAGGTTCAGGTTCAGGGTATGACGGGAAATATTCAGTTCGACTCCTTTGGACGGCGATCAAATTACACCATTGATGTTTATGAAATGAAAACGGGAGGAGCCAGAAAGGTTAGTGGCTCTGGGAGGGCAGTTTCTATAAATTCACACAATATTAATGTCACAGTGAAACCACAAGTCACTTTAGAACATTTAGCAGTGCTGAAAATGAGACTATATATATTTACACACCGGCCACTATATTAGGTACACCTTGCTAGTACCGAGTTGGACCCCTTTGTGCCTTCAGAACTGCCTTATTTTATCGTGGCATAGATTCAACAAGGTGCTGGAAACATTCCTCAGAGATTTTGGTCCATATTAACATGATAGCATCAGGCATTTTCTGGAGATTTGTCGGCTGCACATCCATGATGCAAATCTCTTGTTCCACCACATCACAAAGGTGCTCTAATGGATTGAGATCTGGTGACGGTGGAGGCCATTTGAGAATAGTGAACTCATTGTCATCTTCAAGAAACCAGTTTGAGATGAGCTTTGTCACATGGTGCGTTATCCTGCAGGAAATAGCTGTCAGAAGATGGGTACACTGTGGTCATATAGGGATGGACATGGTCAGCATCAGCTTCAAGGTTCGACGTGTTGTCCATTCAGAGATGCTCTTCTGCTTACCTCGGTTGCCCTGCAGCCATATCACCCTGTAACCCAAGACTGGTTGCCCACTGTAGCTAAGCAGGGTTTAGCATGGTCAGTACCTGGAAAAAACTAGGTTGCTGCTGGAAGAGGTGTTAGTGAGGCCAGGGTGCTCACCCTGTGTTCTGTGTGGGTCCTAATGCCCCAGTATAGTGATGGGGATTGGGGACACTATACTGTAAAAAAGCACCATTGGCCCCTGTCCATCATCATGGCCTCCTAATCATCGCCATATATAGTGATTGGCTTCATCACTCTGTCTCCTCTCCACCAATATGCTGGTGTGTGGTGGGCATTCTGGCAAAATATGGCTTCCGTTGCATCATCCAGGTGGATGCTGCACATTCGTGGTGGTTGAGGAGATTCCCTAGCCTGACTGCGTCAGACTTCGTACTTCCGCTCTATTTCAGTTCACTTCTGTACTCAGCCTGAGACATCGACATGTCTCTCAGTTTTCCTCCGGCCTGAAAACAGCCGGCCAATCAACGAACAGAGGGCGGGCTGAGAGCCGTGACGTAGACGCTAAGTGCCGAGTTTAAGATTGTATTTTAGGTTAGGGAAATCGAAAACGACCGCGGATATGGAGACACGGGATGCAATTCGCTCTGTTGTGGAGAATATTACCGGCATTTGCAAACTGAAGCCCGAACAAGAAGAGTGTTTGTTAAACATTTTGAATGGAGGTGATGTTGTGGCCCTACTCCCGACAGGTTTTGGGAAAAGTTTAATTTATCAACTATTACCTATCGTCAGCAAGAAACTGGGCAGGCCAAAGGCCGACAAGGCGATAGTTGTGATTGTGTCCCCCTTGGTTGCACTCATGTAGGATCAGGTTAAGGAGGCAGCAAAACTCGGTCAGCCATGTTCACTCCGGTATTTTGCTCGATGGTTTCGTTTTCGCATCATACATGTGTTTACAGTGGAAGTTCGATGCGGCTGAGCTGGCGAATAACACACGTCATAACCAAACGTTATGTGATTGGCTTACGGGTAACCAATGATTTTATACTTCAGACAAGCGCAACCCCCCCCCCCCCATCGCGAGAAAGAAAACACTCAATTATGCCATTCCAGACTCTGTCTACGAAGCAAAGCGAAGTAGCAGAGTTTGGTATTACCAGGCTAGAGATTCCCCCCTTCCATATGTAAAGCATTTTGAGTGATGAGAAAAGCCCTATATCAATGTATGACCTCTGGCATCAACAAGGCATTTTCTCCCACAGAACTGCCGCTCACTGGATAGTTTCTCTTTTTTGGACCATTCTCTGTAATCCCTAGATATGGTTGTGTGCGAAAATCCCAGTAGATCAGCAGTTTCTGAAATACTCAGTTTAGCCTGTCTGACACCAACAACCATGCCACGTTCAAAGTCACTTAAATCATCTTTCTTCCCCCCCATCTGATGCTCAGTTCGAACTTCAGCAGATTGCATTGACCATGTCTGCCATGCCAGTTGCTGTCATGTAACTGGCTAATTAGATACTTATTAGATAGTTAACTAGCAGTTGAAAAGGTGGCCGATGAGAATGAATACTGTATATAATGTTTTTTTTTTTGCTACAAATACAGAAAAACACTCATTATTAACTCTTTCCCCGCCATCGATGGAATTTTCTGTCATATTTGACACGACGAGATTCCCGCCATTGATGGAATTTTCCGGCAATCCGTGTTTTCACTGTTTTATAGTAGGGGGCGCTGTTAAGCATCTTCTGAAAGAGTACACAATCTCAGGATCAAAACGCTGCAGAAACTAGTGATAGAAGCACTGCTTATACGTCATATAGTCTTTGATTACATTTGATTTTCTCAGCTTTTTTTTTCAAAATGTTGCTTACCCACATAAAAAAAAAAATAGAATGCATGAAGCTAGAATAAAAAAGATGTTTAAAAGCAGAGGCTTTGTTCTTTCTTTTGATATTTTGATATTGCATGTTCAAATATTCATGCAACAATATATTCTGGGGGCCATGAATTTTTGTGGAAATTATCAAAAATGCTGGCAGTGGCTGGCAAAAAAAAACAAAAAAAAACGCTGGCATGGAAAGAGTTAAGCAAGTGTTTTTTTTTATTGCCATCTTACCGCCCTCTTTTAGACCCTCATCATTAAATATTTAATTTGTTTCCCATTTCTTTTTTTTTCTTTTTTTCTTAACTGTTATTTATAGTACAAATAAACATTTTATCTTAAAAGATCAAGGAAAATTGTATTTCTCACTATACCCTTTAACGTGCACTTGAATGCTCCAGCTACCGTCATACCCTTGCTTTCCTCCTCCATCATTCATCAGATTATGTTTCTACTGAGTCTTTCTCTTTCTGTATTACTCATTTCTTTTATTGGTTGACAGTGATTGATTGATTCTATTTATGCTTTTACTGTTTCTGTTTCTGTCCCTTGCAGATTGGCTACTGGAATGAATACGAGAAATTTGTTTATATAGTGGAGCAGCAGGTTACCAACGAATCCTCCTCTGTGGAAAACAGAACCATTGTGGTCACTACTATCATGGTACACTATCTAAAGCTGCTTTTAAATATGCCGAACCATGACCCTTCTGCCCTCTCAGGTTTAGTGTCACAGTTGCATTGCATCCTGGGGGGGCAGAACGTTTTTCTGTTTTGCTTTGCTTTGCACTCACTCACTACATGTTGAAACAGTCGATCACAATAGAGTGTTTCAACTGTATCCGTGTGAGTGCCAAAGCATTTTCAGTTCCATTCCAGTGGCCTGTTGTAGCAGTGACATCACAATACTGGCTTTGGTAAGAAATAGGTTAGAACGTTCCTCTATCTGCTTCTTTCACTTCACCAAACGTAAGTACTGAACGACTGAGATGTCGGGCTGGATGCAAATGACAGTGTACATAGACACATGCACACAAAAATTGGCTGAGGGTTTTCTCACACATGTGAAATATTAAGTGGTTTATTTTACATCCCCTCAGAGTTCAGATGTTCTCTGCATTTTCTAATGTTTTTAATTTCCAGCTGTCAAATCAGAAGTGCCCATTGGGTGCAGACAGTCCGTTATTCATTTAGCTCCCTAAAATTACATAATCGTCGCAGCAGAAACGATGAATGTGAGCAGGGACATGACTGTGAGTGAGTGTGAGCAGTGTCCACTCAATAGCAAATCAATACAATTAAAGTTTTTGCTTAGATTGGCTTTTATGTATTTCTCTAATTTATTAGTGGCTATTTAAGTGCCACATGAAGACGAGTTGTGATTGGGAACCAGCTCAGTGCCTTTTCATTCAAATGCATACAAATGTACTGCCACTGTTTAGATACATCCTGTGAAATACAGCTGCAATTTTGTTTGACTAAAAATAAAAAATCTGACCATGCAGTCCTAATTTTGTAACTCCCAACTAAAGCAAAATGATGAATATATTTGAGTGAACTGTGGTTTTATACCATTTTAAAATAGCAAAATGTAATTAGTTATTAAATGTTAACAAGAAATGCAGAACTTCTTAATCTAGAGCATTTCAAACAGGACACGTGCCAGGTTATGCACGTGGTAATGTTTTGCCTACTGGACATGTTACGTTGGACGACTCATTGTGTTTAAAGAAACATGCGTTAATTGAACCAAATGCTGGAAGTGAACCGGTTGGGGCTGTAGAGTGATTACAGCTGGGCTTAAACGAGTTTCATAATTATGTCCTTAATGAAGAACTCTGAGAACTTGAGGGCAGGGGGGAGGATAGAGGCGAGGACTGAGATGAAACTGAAAGAATATTAATTAAAGAGTGAATATGGTAATTAATCTTTTGAATAATGCATAACCTAAAGGTCACAGAATCCAAATCCTAGTGAGGAAAACAACTTCAGAACGGTGTCAATGAGTAATACAGTTACGTTCATTACAAAAGTGAGCATTTGTAAGACCAGTCAGAATTACATAAATAAACATATTTCACTAAATTTAGTTAGTCACAGAAGCAGTCATATTTAAATGTACCACAAGGTTCGCCTTATGTTACATTTAAAAGTGATGATGACCTCTTTCTGACTCTGCCTATGATGATCTCATAAGTAGATACAGAAAGTGAAAGAAGAACTAAATCTTAGGTTAATTAGATGATTAGGTTAATAAGAGTTTGTGAAAGGAATGTTTTATTATGCATAGATTGGACAGATGTGCCTGTGTATAGAAATCTCATATAAAATGACTGAAAATACAGATGAGTTTAGATGGGCCAGTTTGTAAAAAAAGATTTTTTTAAAACTAGAGTTTGATCTGATGCTATTAAAGCAGTATTTTGATTGCTTTTAATGTTAGAGTTTCATCATCATTCATGTTAACGTTTGGCCTGATTAAAATAGTTAAAAGCACCCACACATGTGAGAAAACCTCTGCCACCCTCTAACCCACCCACCTGCATGCACTTTAGACATAAATGTGTGTAAGTTTAAGAGCCCCCTTAAACTTGCTTGCTTTAGACTGACCAATGACCCCAGTTTACTAATGAGAGGACCTGCAACTTCACTTCTGTCAGCTCTGTCTTTCTCTCTCCACTTTGAGAAATTAGATTCCACTGAATAGCACTGTCCACAAACCCAAAACCCACTTTAAATTCAAACTAGCCTTCCTCACAGCTGCTGTTTGTTTGGTAGCTTGGCTGTTGGTCGGATTGCTGTTACGAGACTCAAAATGCATGTTTATATTTCAGTATGTGTTTGTGCGAATGAGTAAGAATGAATGTGAATGTGTGTGTGTGAGAGAGAAGTATCGGCATGATGGCAGACTAATGATTTTTTTGTGTTTTCTGGGCTGTCAGTTTGAAAGCCAGCTCAACCTCCTCTGATTTGGTTAACAGGAAGCTCCATATGTAATGTACAAGAGGAATTATATGCAGATGGATGGAAATGATCGCTATGAGGGCTACTGTGTAGACTTGGCATCAGAAATCGCGAAGCACGTCGGCATTAGGTACAAACTGTCCATTGTAGCTGATGGGAAATATGGAGCACGCGACCCTGAGACCAAGACCTGGAACGGCATGGTGGGGGAGTTGGTATATGGGGTGAGTGCTGGGAAAATTATCCTGCAATGGGAAGGCTTTGGTGGTGGGATAGTGGCTGTGTGAAGCCAGCAACACTTAGGAGGCCTCATATATAATCACTGACCGCTCTGTCAAAATAAAAGTTTATTTTTCTTTGCAGGTTTCAAAATGTGTCATACGGAATCTTTTCATATACCTGAGCTGTTTGATTTTTGAGTTTGGTGCTTGTCAGAGTTGTTCTCAACATTTATTTCCTGTGTCACATGATTTATTTTGACACTGTAATGTGATTTTTACATTATTTACAGTCTCCTGGTGTTGCTGACATCACCCAAGTCTTTGGTCATGGTCAGTGTTTTTACACAATAAAGCTCCAAAGTAGTGTCTCTCTGCATGTTATTGATGCACCATGAGTAAATCCACTTAAAACACATTTATAAAAAAAAACCCAGCTTCGTCCAATTTGTTCCTGGTTGCTGTTAAAGTTAAACAACACAATATAATCTCTAAGAATGAGAAGAGTGTGTGTCTTTATGCTTTTGTTTTGTTTCTGTGCGACATTCAACATATCCTGACTATATGAGATGCATATCATTTAATAATCTCAAGTGAAGAGTGTTTAACTGGATTTTTTTTAACTGAAATGATCCTATACACAATATCATCATCATATCGGCTATCAGTTAATGTTGGATTTGTTTATGTATATATTGACAAATATTGGATATTTTTCAGCAGATATCAGTTAATGTTGGATTTTTTATGTATATATTGACAAATATTGGATATTTTTATATTGTCAGGCATTTATCGTAAACAATTTTGTGTCCATGTCATGAGAATAATTCCTGGCTTCTCTGTTTTGGCCAGAATTGAGCGCATCCTTACACACAATGTTATTATGAATTTCTATTTAGCTCTATTGTTGAATTTTAAATTGAGTTCTGAGTTGCATTCATAAGCAGATGGAGACAAGAAGGCATTATGGGACAGAAGTACATGGTAACATTCTGCTACATACAGTTACAACATTCAGTTAAATGTAAAGAGTGAACCAAAGGTTCTCCATTTCTTGCTGTTATGAACCTTGTAAAAGTGTTGTTGGTACTGAAACAACTGGTTCACTCCTCAATTCTGCATTTTTATTGTCATTAGACTTTGAAAATGTTAAACTATCTAATCACATTTCCATGATCACACCATGACATTGTTTTTCTCATACTATGAACTGAGAGTTACTGTGTTCCATGTTTCCAGAGGGCAGATATAGCTGTGGCTCCTCTCACTATAACCCTTGTCCGGGAGGAGGTGATAGATTTCTCCAAGCCCTTCATGAGTCTGGGCATTTCCATCATGATCAAGAAACCACAGAAGTCCAAACCGGGAGTCTTCTCCTTCCTAGACCCATTGGCGTATGAGATCTGGATGTGTATCGTGTTTGCATATATCGGTGTGAGCGTGGTTCTCTTCCTGGTGAGTCGTTTCAGTCCATACGAATGGCACCTGGACGAGAATGAAGAGGCGAAGGATCCGCAGACGCCACCTGACCCGCCCAACGACTTTGGCATCTTTAACAGTCTCTGGTTCTCTCTTGGAGCTTTCATGCAGCAAGGATGCGATATCTCGCCAAGGTTGGTGTATTATTTAGCCCGTTCTTGTCTCTCCATCCGCATCTTTCTCTCTCCCCTCATCTTTGCATTTTATGGTCGTCTCGTCTATCATGGTGCATATATGTTATTTTACTTGGGGTGTTTCACTTGTCAATAAGCTAAAGCTTATCTCTTAACCATTTATTCATTCAATCATCGTGTCACTTCATTCATTCACTCAAACACTCATCAGTCACAATATTGTCACTACAACTGTTCTTGTCTTTCTCCACCTTTCCTCTTTTGAAATACAGCTTGTGTTAAATCGGTGGTTCTCTCTTTTTTCACTACTCTTTGGAACTAAAGAAATGTTCGCTCCACATTCAGCCAATAATATATCTGTCAGTATTGCTGCCAAGTTTTGGCACTTATAATGACATATAATCATTTAACAGATGCTTTTGTACAAAGCAACTTAAAAATGAGGAAAAACAACAAACAATTTAATGCACATCAACCAATGTCATGTTTGCATTATAAAGTTTTTATTCAAACGCCTGCTGTTAAATAATAAAATGTTAAATTCTTAAAGAAAACACAAAATGAAAACTGCATGTTTTGGATAATGATCCAGCATGTTTCACGCAACCTATATGACCATTGTTCCTTCTGAAATGATATAATGATGACGTGTGAAATAAAACGAAAGCAAGGATGTTTGCTGAATTATGAAAAGTTTGTCCTTAATGAAAAAAGTTGGAAAAAATCTATTAAATAAAACAGGAAATGTCTTTTATGATATCCAGAAATAAATGAAAAAATAAACAAATGATACTGCTTTGCAGACGCAATGATAAAGGGTTAGTTCAGCCAAAAAATGAAAATTCAGTTATTTACTCATTTTCATGTTGTAAGTAAACAAGATTTGAGAACCATTGCTTTAAGTGATGCTGGACACCAACTAAAATAATTTATATTCACCGTGTGTTGACTGTAAAATGTACAGATTTTCTCTTTCACTCTCTTTCTCTCTTTCTTGGAGGGCTACCGTGTTTTTGCTGCATGTCTCTATTTTACTGTCAGCAGTTTGGTGTTTATAAACTGTTTCAGTGGAGGATTGTCAGCCCTCTTCACTCATTCCATCGTTCTTCTATTCAGTCATTTGATTTTCCTGTCCATCTTACTCACCAAATTCCTCTTGGATTTGTCTTTCATTCTTGAGGTGATCTTTGTGACCCTGTTCTCATCCTCATCTTTCTTCCGGCCCTTTATTAGAGAGACCTGCCCAAACAGAAGCTTCAATTGTACTTTGAGTGATTTTTTTGCCCGTAGCTTGAAGACTTTTGCATCATTTATCAGCAGTAATAGCTTTAATATGTTTGTATTAATTGTTAACCTTTCACAGGGGATTTGTTTGCTCTCCTATTGTCTCTCTGTCTCTCTCCCTCACTCCCTCTCTCTCTCAGGTCTCTGTCTGGCCGTATTGTTGGAGGTGTGTGGTGGTTCTTCACTCTGATCATCATTTCATCCTACACTGCCAATCTGGCTGCTTTCCTGACTGTGGAAAGGATGGTCTCGCCTATAGAGGGCGCAGAAGACCTGGCCAAGCAGACTGAGATCGCCTACGGAACGCTCGACTCCGGTTCCACTAAAGAGTTCTTCAGGGTAAGACAGCAATAGAAATGTTCTATCAAATGCAATATTACCACCATTTTTAGCCAAGCTGGTGTGGTTATTGATGATAGTAAAAAATAGTGTTCCGTGCCATTGTTTCCCAACCATATCTTGACCTTATTTACATCTACACTACCGTTCAAAAGTTTGGGGTTGGTATGATTTTTTTAAAATGTTTTTGAAAGAAGTCTCTTGTGCTCCCTAAGGCTGCATTTAGTTGATCAAAAATACAGTAAAATGTGATGGCAAAGCTGAATTTTCATCATCATTGCTTCACTCTTCAGAAATCATTCTAATTTGCTGATTTGGTGCTCAAGAAACATTTCTTATTAATGTCGAAAACAGTCGTGCTGTTTAATTTTTTTATGGAAACCATGATACATTTTTTTTTCAGGATTCTTTGATAAATAGAAAGTTCATCAAAGAAAGTTTGAAATAGACATTTTTTGTAGGAATGTAAATGTTTTTACTTCACTTTTGTTCAATTTAAAGGCACAATATATACGATTTTTTGACTAAAATATCCAAAAACCACTAGAACAATGTTATATATTTTGTTGACTTGTATACTTACATTATCCCAAATGTTTCCAACAGTTTAAATCCGGAGAATCAGCTATTTTAACCAGTGTAACAACACGTGTCATTGACACCTATCAATGATGTCATATCCGCGACGTATTACCCTCGATTTCCAGTTTTACTTCCGTAGAAACCATGGAAACACCAAAGACGCTTTAATATATTACGTTATATATTAGACAGCTGAGCAAATGTTTGGATACTTAGACAAAAAAATAATCATTGTTATATAGTTCAGCACGGTTAGTTTTATTGTTTGAATCTCTTGTTTTCTTGATTTACTCCTAGTAACATATTTGTACCCAAAAAGTAATCAGACAACACTATTTTGTCAAGTTGCTAAAAGAGCATAATCAGAAAGAGCTTTATTTGTAACTGTAATATAGCATTTTCTCCACCATACAATGTTTTAAAATGAATTGCATGCCAGTAATCCAGCTTTTATTAATATGATCTAGCTTACTGCAGTGTGCATCAAGTGTCTCATACCAGCCAGTAACATTAACATAACTTTCAACACACTCAAATGTATTTTTAGTATGATTGTTTTTTTGTTTTGTTTTTTTTCCTCACTTTATTTATAGTTTTTTCCACATATTACAAAATTCCAAACATTCCACAATAAAGTTGTGCAATTTAACATGTAGTAAAGGGAAAAAAAAGGGGTAGGATCAGAGGATAGGCAGGGATCCAGGCCCTACCTAATATAAAGGGAATAATTGTTGACCCCAAATAAGAATGTTCAAAGTACCTAATAAAGTACCAAATATGCAAAAATTACCCCTCACCCCGCCCCCCCCCCCCCCCCCCCCCCCCCCCCCAAAAAAAAAAAAAGTGCCAACCAAGGTAAATATTTAACCACATTATTGAATTATAAGTGTTATTACAGTAGAGAGTACAATTATTAACTATTTTCCAGAATGCAGGGATTGTATGTTTCCATATATGCAAGGAGAGAGCCCCACATTTTGTAAAAGTTCTTGAAAGAGCCCCTCAGTAAGTATCTGATTTTTTCCAGTTTAATAAAGTGAAAAACGTCTTTAATCCACAAGGAGTGAGTAGGTGGAGCAGATGATTTCCAATGCAGTAAAATCCGACGTCTGGCCAGGAGGGACACAAATGCCACAAAATCCGCCTTGTAGTGTGAACAGTGAACAGGCAAAGAAAGTGTACCAAACAGTGCTGTTATAGCCACAGGTTCAATTGCTGTCTCAACTACCTTCGACATTGTCTCAAATATATCAGTCCAATATCCATGTAGGGCTGGGCAGAACCAAAACATATGTGCCAAGGATGCAGGAGCCTGACGACAACGGTCACAGATAGGATCAATGTCAGAATAAATTTTAGAGAGTTTGACCTTAGTCCAATGAGTACGATGAAGTATTTTGCATTGGATCCATCCATGTTTAGCACACACAGATGAGGAATGCACCCTGTATAAAATACTCTCCCAGTTCATCTGAAATATCTTCTGATAAGTCTTCCTCCCACTGAGTTTTTATAGATGCCAGTGAGCTTCTATGTAGAGAACATATTTTGTCATAAAAAAAAGAAATCATCCCTTTCCCAATAGATATTGGCTCAAGGAGTAAATCTATAGAAGTGGGAGTGGGGAGACTAGGAAATTGAGGGTGCATATTACGGATAAAACTGCGAGCCTGCAAGAATCGGAAAAAATTGTTTCTGGGCAATGAAAACGTATCCACAAGCTGTTGAAAGGATGCAAAAACATCATCTATATATAAATCTTTAAACATTGATAGGCCATATTAGGACTGGGCGATATGGCTGAAAACTGTATCACGATATCAGTGTTTCATATCGGTCGATATCGATAATTATTGATTTTTTTATGACCCATTTAAAATAAGGACCAGGAGAAAAAATATATTACAATTAAACTTTTTTTTTTTTTAACTTAACCTTCCTCTGATTACAATCCCAAGACAGAAATGTCAACACAACCATGGAAAACTCAAATAATTAAAAATGTAAACATAAGTCTAAATTCACAATCAGACCTGCAAACTCCTCAGAGTAAAAAAGGTGACAGTGGCGCGGTGGGACGTGGGTGAGGGGGGTTTGTGATCGTACGTGCCCCCTGCTTGATTTGTTTTGTGATTTTTAATATGCAAATGACACATTTCTGAGCGTGACTTAAAAATCAGCATACTTATCAAAAGTATTTTTCTGCCAACCAGGAAGTTTGTATCTTACACATGCACTGTATCATAAGAAGTCAGGGCAGAGCACTCGGCTAACGATAAGCCTAACGTTACAGGGATATTCCACCATTTGGGGAATTAAGCTCATTTTCCACCTCCCCTCGAGTAAAACAAATGTTTGTTTACCGTTTAGGAAACCATTCAGCCGATCTCGTGGTCTGGCGGTACCACTTTTACCATAGCTTAACGTAATTCATATTATGACGACAATACTAGGGGTGGAACGGTACACAGAAGTCACGGTTCGGTTCAGACATCACGGTTCGGTACGATTTCGGTAAAATGGATTGAAAAGCAAAACCGAAATATAGAAGGCATTTTTATAAATGTCTTAAGCCTTGTATTTTTTAAATAAGTTTTATTAATAAAGGCATAGAACCAGTTTATTTATAGTGCACTGATAATAGTTTTATATAATTGGTTTATTAATTAAACTAATAAAAAGATAGATATGAGATATGTTTGGTAATTGTACCTGAATGAATTTAAAATTAATTTGCTATATTTCAGATCAATATATTTGTTTTCCTTAATTTTAATTAACCCTAACTTTATTCTCATCAGAATTATAAATAATTGATTTCCGTATAAAATAATACTACCAACACATTTCATTTTCTTTTTTAATCAATGTGTAACTTAAAAATAAACAGATTAGTGCTATGAGGACAAGAAATTAAAACCAATGCGATATGATGAATGTCCAAAAGATGGAACACACAGGCTGTTTTAAAAAGGGGTTGGATAAATATGTTTTGCTTTTAAAACGGTGTGTGACAGTTGTAGGTTACAGTTTGACAAGAAATACAGTGTGACAAAAGCACAATGTTGTGTTTTATTGCGAGTATAGGCCTACACAAATATAAGTAAACACTTTGCAGACTGAATGATGTCCTGTATGTTTTTATGTCTCCACTGTTCGATCGCGCCCGCGTGTCTGTCTCTCTCGTGCCTCTCTCTCTCTCTCTCGCGCGCGCGCACACACACACACACACACACACACACGCTCCAGCATTGCAATCTTGACATCGCAGCCTGTTCATTATGCTGTGTTCACATCAAACGCGAATAGAGCGAATTATCCAATAATGTTTCGCAATTCTAGCCTGCATGGCATGCAGATGAAGGGCACTCATTTTCTGCTTATCAATCGCCGGTTACTGAAGAGGAACCCAGCAGCACGAGACAATGATATGGCGCAACCAAACTGACACGTTACATGATTGCCTGTTAGCGTGTCACACGCGAGTGCCTTTGTTAATGCAACCAAACTTGCTTCGCAATCTTTGGTTTCTTCCGACGAAGAAAAAAATATCGAACGTTTTATCGAACACATTTTTTATTGATATCGATCACGTGTCTATCGCGATACATATCGTTATCGTTTTATCGCCCAGCCCTAGGCCATATGTTGCCCACTGGGAAAAAGTCTTGTCCATCATTGATGGTGGAAAAGCAAAGTTTGACGCTATAGGGGCAGACATAGAGAATGTTTGTAATCCATAATACAGCCTAAACTGTCTCCAGATTCGCAGTGAAGTTTTTACAATTACATTTTTTGTGGGAATCGCAAGGGAGAAAAGGAACTGTTAATAGGGGAGTATAACAGGGCAGTTAAAGTAGTAGGAACACATGACATTGCTTCCATGGCAAGCCACACAGGTGAGCACTGCAATTTGACCTGGTTTAACCAGTACTGAAAGACCCTGAAATTAGCTGCCCAGTAATAGTGTCTAAAGTTGGGTAAGCCCATACCCCCAAGAGATTTGGGTCGTTGAAGAAGTGCTTTGCTAATTCTAGCAGTCTTTTTATTCCAAATAAACTCTGAGACTAACCTGTCTATTCTCTGAAAAAAGGCTTGAGGGAGAAAAATGGGAATGCACTGAAACAAATACATAAACTTTGGGAGGGTATTCATTTTAACAGAGTTAATTCTACCAGCTACGGATATAGGAAGTACCGACCATCGTTCAAAGTCTTTCTGAACCTGAAGCAGTAGATTATCAAAATTAAATTTAAAAAGATCTTGAAATCTATTGGTTATACAGACCCCGAGATATTTAAAATTGCACTGTGCAATTTTAAATGGTAAAGTATGTTGTAAAGGGTATTTTTTAGCCACTGCATTCAATGGGAAAATTTCACTTTTGCCTAAATTTAGCTTGTAACCAGAAATAAAAC